AACAAACAAACTTCATTTTCTTTTCCGCGGCTGCCCAATGACAGGTTAGGTTAAGAAAACGTAGTACACAGAGATAGAACACTTTACCGTGTGATCTTTGTATAGTTCGCTCATCGCTACAACTGTGATTTAGAATCCTACAATTTTCACCCAGTTTAAAATTATTCAAATTGATGCATCGCTCGGCACTGGAACACGGGGCCCGTGTCCGGATTCTATTTGACAGTGCCCCGAATCCTCGGTTGGTGTCTTGAAACATTAGAACAGAAAAGCATGATCGATATCATAATGAAAAGCCGAAAATTCCTGCGCCTGTGGGCCCAAGCCCCGAATTTTTTAAACACCTAGCAACACGCTCCTGGTTTCAAAGCTGACATTAAAATCAACTTTTACAGCATTGGTTTTTAGTAATATCGCCAATTTCGGTTAGATGGCGCTTAGTTCTTGTTGTGTGGTCAATTAAACTAATAAGTTTATCAGATTCGAAATAGTCAAAGACTTTAGATAAAAACATAAAATGTGAAACTTTTAAGGATGGGCAACATTCCATTAGTCATTTTCAGGAAAAATAAAATTGTTTTTAATCTTCTTATTAATAGTGCTTGTTCGAAATGTTTTTACTTTGGTTCATTCGTTTTTTGATCATAAAAAGTTTGCAAGTCATCATTTAAAACAGTTAGAAAGTGCGATGGACTGGGTGCAGATGGCGTAGCTTTGCACTAAAAATAACAACAGCTGTTAGAAACCATTTTTTCATATACACCATTCAAAGTTTTGAGTATTTGAGAATTGAAAAGCGTCCAAAAACATTACAAATAGACATACTTAATAAGAATACCAATTGCTAAACCGTTTTGGATATACAATTTAGTGGCAAAAATAATATTTATAACAACAGCACGGATAAGTTTTCAAATGTTGTCTTCATTAACGAATTTAAATCATATAATCATATTCGAATATTATCAGACGTTATCGTCATACAAACACGTTCTCGCTTTGTTTAAAGTCGAATATTATCAGACGTTATCGCCATACAAACACGTTCTCGCTTTGTTTAAAGTCGAATATTATCAGACGTTATCGCCATACAAACACGTTCTCGCTTTGTTTAAAGTCGAATATTATCAGACGTTATCGTCATACAAACACGTTCTCGCTTAGTTTAAAGTCGAATATTATCAGACGTTATCGTCATACAAACACGTTCTCGCTTAGTTTAAAGTGTAGTTTTAAACTAATTTAGTGTAAGGGAGCAATGCAAAATTTGTTTTTGTAATTTTATAATCCATGCACTTACAGACAATATATATATATATATATACAACATAATAAATATATTATGTTACAAGTAAACACACTATATATATATGTATGTATGTATGTACACAAAACTATTAAATCATAAGATAAATTAATTTAATGTAAATAAAGTATTATGATTAGAAGCACATACACACCCACTACACAAACACAAAGCTTTACACAGGACAGTAGAGGTTAAAAAAGTCGTGCAGCTGTAGCACTGATTACAATGTGCAATGTTATATAATGTAGCATTAGCTTGAAAAACCCTGTAAGTTACATTGGATAAATAAATAACTAAATAACAGTAATTATTATAGGTTGTTATTATTAGTCCCCAAAGTTTTATCAGTTATATATATATATATGGGCCCGGCATGGCCAGGTGGTTAGGGCGCTCGACTCGTAATCTGAGGGTCGCCGGAGGTTGGCATGTTTGGTGTGACGGGGATTCGAACCCTGGT